TGACCACTTTTAGGCAGTCCCAAGGCATAACGTATGAGCAACCTGTGTATAAAGACCACCTGTCTATAGTGACCACATTTAGACAGTCCCAAGGCATAATGTATGAGTAACCTGTGTATAAAGACCACTTGTGTATGTAACCACTGTTTCAGCAACATTTTTGCAGATTTCCTGCGAATTTGCTTTTGTGTAGAGACCAAAATAATCATAATCATAAGCATTCAGTTTATAAAACAATTTCCTTAAGTTAAACTTATTTGATTTCCCCCAACTCAAACAAATATGTTTTTATTGCATCAGTACCATCTCATTATTTTCCAGACCAATATTTTGTCAAACGCATGAGTTAATTGGGGATCCATAACAAAAACATAATCCTATCTTTATAAAGAGCACCTGTCCATAAAAAACTTGGGTCAATGCTTTACGCAGGTTTTTTTTTCCATTTTTTTTTTATCTCAGCACTGTCGGGTATGTACTTACGTAGATGGGAAGCGGAATTGTGGTCTAAGTTCCACGTCCACAGAAGGCCAAGGTGTGGATGGGTACGATTTTATATTATATGTAACAGCATTGCAGACTGAGACGTGTGGATATGATGATACTATCGGGTTTGCTACTTGGTGCCAGTTAGAAACCGCATTAGATAGGTAAGTACAGACTTGTTTATTCTTTGTGGGAGGGATCAGATCTGGACGTTAAATACACCTGTTACCAAGGTCAAAATTAGTTACCTTTTGCAAAACTATATTTTTCCATTTTTTTTACAAATTTTGATTTTTCATCAAAATTAACAAAAAAATTCCAGAAAACTAGAGAAATTTGCTGAGTGACACTGACAAGAAAAATTAGTTGGTTTTCACAAAAAACAAATCATCAGATTTCTTTTCAAATACATTTATTTCATTCTGTTATCATATTTCATTGCACAACGAATGAATCAAATTTAATTTGGAATTATGTTTTTAAAGCTGTTCAACATTATGTTTGGTAACTAATATTGTAAAAAAAATATGCAGGTTTTTCATCATTGTGTGCAAACAGTTAAAAATGTGCAGTTTTTTGTAAAATGTAGGAAAAAATCAAAACTCAAATTTAAAGTGAAAAAAACCCCCACCCCACATCAATTTTGAAAAGCAAACTGACCAAAGACTTATTTTTTTTCTGCATTTAACGAACACCCCTTTCCTTATAGACCAGTGGCTGGGTTTGCTAATCTGTGTCCAGAGTCTCTGTCCTTGCAAGAAGCTCATTTTAATAATATTCTTGGTTCCTTGAAGCATGAGATTTATCATGCATTGGTGAGTAGTATTTTATTTACATTTTAGACGCTTCGCGATGAGCGTCTTTCGCCGTCATTAATATTTACAAAAATATTTGTTCACAATTGGCGATTCCCATTAGATAGTGTCACAGCATTTCGGTTAAAATTTCTTTTAACTTTGCATGTGTACTATGATTGCATTTGAAGTTTTCATAATTTTTGTGACTGCACTGCAATAACATCATAGACTGCACTGCAATAACATTACAGACTGCATTGGAATGACATCACAGACTGCGTTGGAATGACATCACAGACTGCACTGCAATAACATCACCGACTGCATTGCAATGACATCACAGACTGCATTGAAATAAATCACTGACTGGACTGCAATGACATCACAGACTGCACTGTAATGACATCACAGACTGCATTGCAATGACATCACAGACTGAACTGCAATAAAATCACAGACTGCATTGCAATGACATCACAGACTGCATTGCAATAGCATCACAGAATGCATTGCAATGACATCACAGACTGCACTGCAATAACATCACCGTCTGCATTGGAATGACATCACAGACTGCATTGAAATAAATCACAGACTGCACTGCAATGACACCACCGACTGCATTGAAATAAATCACTGACTGCATTGAAATGACATCACTGACTGCATTGCAATGACATCACAGACTGCATTGCATTGCAATGACATCACTGACTGCATTGCAATGACATCACAGACTGCATTGCAATGACCTCACACACTGCACTGCAATGACATTACAGACTGCATTGCAATGACATTACAGACTTCATTGCATTGCAATGACATTACAGATTTCATTGCATAGCAATGAAATCACAGGCTGCATTGCATTGCAATGACATCACAGACTGCATTGCAATAGCATCACTGACTGCATTACAATGACATCACTGACTGCATTACATTTCAATGACATCACAGACTGCATTGCAATGACATCACAGACTACATTGCAATGACATCACAGACTGCATTGCAATGACATCACTGACTGCATTGCAATGACATCACTGACTGCATTGCAATGACATCACAGACTGCATTGCAATGACATCACAGACTGCATTGCAATGACATCACAGACTGCATTGCATTGCAATGACATCACAAACTGCATTGCAAAATGAAAAAAAAAATTATAGATTCTTTGCAAATAATTAAGAACATTAACAAGAACATGAATGGATAGGTGATTCGGTCAGAATTTAATCTTTGTTTTAAACAGAGAGCTAAACTTTCTCTTCAAATAGATTAAGAATTGTTCATGTATTTTTTTTCCAGGGGTTTTCTGCTAGTTTGTATGCATTTTATAGAGACAGTGATGGCCACCATTAACTGATAGATCAGCTGATGGAAAACCCCCACGTAATTATGAGTGAGTATATGCAAAT